TTTATGGTCTAGTGTAGTATTTATGGGGAGTAGAAATGGGTTGTATTAGGCTCCAGGTCAAAGTTTGAATTATATGATGTTGGGCTGAAACCTAATCTTCTATTTCCGTGGGCTTTAGGCCTTTAGTATTGAAGTATTTAGGCTGCACCAGATTATAATAATTCTTTCTTTGTCCCATATAATATAGTGCACACTGGTTTTCGTGGAAGTCAACCGTCGCAAAGGTTGACCAAGTTTATAGAGAAATTTATCTATTTCTATAATACTCCCTTCGTTCACAAATATAAGATGTTCTACCTTTTTCAGAATCGGATGTATATATACATGTTTTAGTATGATTGTTCACTCATTTCGGTTTGTATGTAGTCCATATTGAAATATCCAAAACATCTTATACCCCCTTCTTTTTTTATACAAGATCACTTTGTTTTTCCTGTCAAACTTTGACTTATAATTTTGATCAACAAAATATGGTTATATGCCATTAAAAATATATCATCGGAATGTTGTTTGAAATATGCATACTTTTTGCGGCATATAATTCATATTTTGTTTGTAAAATTTACGATCAGAGTTTATATCGTTTTGACTTTAAAAAGGCATAATACACACTGTATTGTTGGACGGAGGAAATGGATAATAAACATTCACCAGTAAAAAAAAGCTTTACAAAATGGCCCCATATCCCCCGCACTGGATCCGCCCATGCAACTATAGTACTTCCTCCGTTCCTAAATATTTGTCTTTCTAGAGATTTCAACAAGTAACTACATACGGAGCAAAATGAGTGAATCTACACTATAAAATATTTCTACATATATCCGTATGTGGTAACCATTTAAAACCTCTAAAAAGACAAATATTTAGGAACGGAGGGAGTATGTAGTAGTAACAAATTCGTAACAGCAATGCCCCTATAAATTTAATCACGAGCATGACCATGCTCCCTAAAGCTGCACCCATGAGACAACTGTTGTGTAATGAACACAACGGGATCAAAAGCAAGGTAGTCAGCTGTGAGGAGACGAGTTTCTATCATAGGTTAGGAAGGATTAATCGCCAGCGAAATAGCAGCTATTGTAGTGCTATCGCCGATCTGAAACTGCCCTATGATTTGCATGACTCATGAAATCGTGGGAGATCGTGCCATTCATGCCTTAACAATCGCTGCAAGTTTCTCTACCGCAATTTCCTTTCTTCCGCGATTTATTCTGTGTATGCCAGAGAGACGGACCTTCAAGTGATAACATACCGGTTTTCTATTAACTGATAATTTAGTTACTTTTGCGTCAAGAAATCCATCCTTTTTTGTTACTTTTTTACTACTAGTCGACTGAAGCTGGAAGAGAAGGTCACGGTGTCAGCTAAATCTCCATGCAGCATTATCTTTCATCGATGACCAAAGACTGTTCTCATGAAAGCTTAGGCAAAATTCAGCTTAATTAATTACTCCATGCAGCAGCATCTTCCATTGATGACCAAAGACTGTTCTCGTGAAAGCTTTGACAAAATCCACTCGGTCCATGCTAGTGTCGTTGTCTTCGGAGTAGTTGATTTGTTCTGAGTCCTATTTAATTAGTTGTTGTACATTCCTCTTCTTTAATACTTATATAGTCCGCATACTCGTGCGTATTTGAGAAAAATTAGTTATTGTACATACATGTACAGGCACTTAGGATAAGTTCGTTGAATCCAACATAAGGAGTCGTGTGTATTTTTTTAAGCTGACATGTGTATTTATTCGCAAGAGATACATATGCACGTAAGGAACTAGCTAAATGAACTACTACCTCCGTCCTGGTTTATAGGTCCCCTTTGTAGTTTGTGCTAAATTTTGACTAAAAATTTAACTAACAAAATGTTAATTCATGTCAAGAGAAATTATCTCATTGGATTCGTATTTGAACACAGTTTTCAAAAATATAATGTTTGGTGACATGCGTGAACATTTTGTTAGTTTAATCTATAGTCAAAATTTGGCATGAAAACAATGGGGACCAATAAACCCGGACGGAGGTAGTAGCTCATAAGTAGTCTTTGCTTTTGCTTCATTAGTTTTATTGTAGCATAATTTCATTCATATTTTATGTTACTTACTTTTCCCTATCATCCCAATGTTTATATGTTAGCACAATTTCACAGGTAAATATCTAATATGGCCGAAAGTCCCTTTCTACACCCGAGCTCAAATGAGCTCGGGATGAACAATAACTCAAAAAATATTTAAAAAATCTGACTTTTTTTTGGAGAACTTTGACAAATGTTCTGAGAGCTTGCAAAATTTCATCACGAAATCACATTTGTGGAAGTTGTGGCAAAAAAAAATCGATACTTTATCAATTTTTTTGCCACGACTTTCACAAATATGATTTCATGATGAAACTATGCAAGCTCTTATAACATTTGTCAAAGTTTTTCATAAAAAATTCAGATTTTTTTGAATTTTAAATATTTTCCAATTTTACTATTCACCCAAGCTCATTTGAGTTCGGGTGCAAAAACTTCACTCCCTAATATGGCACTTTATTTAATGAGGAAAAAATGACCAATCATATCTTAATCTAGATATAGATCTTCGCATCAAATAAAAAACATCTCACAACTTTTCTCCCACAAAATACATTGACCGAGGTTGTTTTAGATACAACACTAAGATATAGTAAACAAAATTCAAAATGTTCTTCCTCTGCCATGTCAGGCCAAAATTCCGTGCCCACGGGCCAGCCTTAAAAGCACGGCCATATGGCCAGGACTTGCACCAATGCAGCTTCAGTTTTCTACAACGAATTGCAGCGCAAATGTTATATCTTGCTCAACGCGAGACTAACATACGTCTCGCTGAAGGTTTTTAGCCCCACGTGTAGTTACTGCTGAGAACAAAAAGAAATACCGGCCACGCCGTTGGGGGTTCTCAACTTTGGCGTGATTTAATTAAAGTAAGGGATGAATTTCGGGTTCAAGTCAAATTCGTTGTGGGTAATGGGGTGTCTGTTCTGTTTTTGCTTGATTGGTGGTGTGGCGATGGACCTTTGTCTGCTTCCTTCTCTGTTTTGTTCTCGCATTGTTCTTCCCCTGACATTTCCATCTTGGGGCTTTCTCGTAATAATTAGGACCTGAGACTATGGCGTGTGCTCCCTTCTGTAGAGTTGGAAGAGTGGCAGCGTCCTGATGCCCTCTTCCCTTTGCCCTCGGAGGAGGTTGGCTCCGTTTCCTGGCCTCACTCCTCTTCTGGCAGGTTGTCGGTCAAGTCGCTTTACTCCAGGTTGATTATGGGCTCTACTACTAATAAATTCAAAGACGTTTGGTAGGCCAAGATTCCTGTCAAAATCAAAAAATTTATGTGACAAGCCATTTGTGGGAGGCTTCCTGTTGTTGACCAGATTCGAAAGCGTGTTGTCGAAAGCATAACGGTCCTGGGTCTGAATTTTGTCCCTGCCTCTTTTTGTGGAATTGTGTGCTCTTACATCTCAACTCTCTGGTCTGAAGCGGCTATTCTGGCTACTATGTACTGGGTTCTCTGGACCACAAGAAATAAATTTACTATTGATCATGTCTTCCCTAATAAACCTATTGATTGCTTGTTCAAACTGTTATCTTTTCTTCATCAGTGGAGATTATTGACTAAGGAGGCGGACCGTGGGGCTACGGATGTGCTGATCTCGCTTGTTAGATCGACATCGTCTTCCCTTTACCAGCAAGATCAAGTTGGCCTGCGTGCCTCTTGACGAACTATTTACTTGATTTGCCTGCCTTGGTTCTGTATAAGACTTAAGGTTGTTGTGGCTTTTGACTCTGTCGTATCGCTTTATTTATAATGTCGGGCTCTCGTTTTTTCTCTAAAAACGTGTAGCTACTGGGCTGGCCCATTTTTTTTTAAAAATCGTTCGATGGTTTCGTTCGAGGTCGCTTTCAGTTGCTTCATAGGTTTTTCTGTTTTTCTTGCTTTTTCCATCGGTTTTACTTGTTTCTTTCTCGTTTTCAATGGACTTTTATATTCTGTTTTTTCACCTTTTTTCTTTGTTTGTTTTGCTTTTTTATTCTTTTTTAATTTCTTTCTTTCTTCGTTTTCTCCGGCTTTAATCATTTTTCATACAGACTGTACATTTGCTGTATACATAAGAAACATTTTTCTTATACACGTTTTACATTTTTAAAATACATGATTAACATTTTTTTCAAATATATGTTTTGAAGTCACAGTTTCATACTGATTGTATATTTTTTGTATACATAATAAATATTTTTCTTATACATGTCTAATATTTTCAAATACACGATTAACATTTTTTCAAGTGTGGCGAACATTTTTTTTCTCAAACACGTAAACATTTATTTAGATGTCACAAACATTTCTTTAATAGTATGAACGTTTTCTAAAAGTTGAAGTTGCAACGAAGAACTTCTTTACACTGTAAGTTTTAATTGCACAATGAACATTTTTCTAAAACTTTAGTTAACGTTATGTTTGAGTATATATATTGAGAATATTTCGAAATATAGAGAAAATACATGCTACCACCTACGGATAGTTAGTATATATAAAAGAAACAGAACCCCCTCAAAAAAATATAAAAGAAACAAAAGAAAACAATTGGAATAAAATGCAGTGGCACAAGTGCTGGAAGTGCAGGTTGACTTGAATTTAGCTAAGCGTATGGATGTGTGCATTGACTGGAGGTCACGATGTCAAAGCCCGCGCCGTTTAGCCCACTTGTCGGTCGAACAATTCAAGAAAGTTTATTTTTCCTAAGAAAATAAACCAACGGGCTAATTAAACGAGCCTTGCGGCCGCCATTTCTGGTGGGCAAGCCCCGAGTGCGAGCTGCATACGTTTCTGGCGAGGCCCATGTGCTATGTGCTTCAGGCGAGCGTTTCTTAACTTTCTTTCAACTCGCGTGAGGAGTTGCCCCGAATTGCAGTGGCCGGGCGACGAAACTGAAAACTCCGACTAGTATCTTTTCGGTCCTGCTATTTCTCGTGCGACTGAGAAAATTAAGCGATCAGGTCCATGGTCTCGCAGCCGTATGTATGTACCTGCGGTGGAGGGAGCGGCACTTGGAGGCGACGCAGTGGTAGATCTCGGAGGCCGGGTGGAAGGTGAGCTCGACGCGGCAGCCGCGGAGGCCGCGGAGGAGGTCGCCGATGACGTGGAGCTCCACTAACCGGTACGCGACGACCGACACGGCGACGAGGGCCGCGAGCGCGTAGTGCTCCGCGGGCACCAGCGCCGCCGCGCGGCGCAACAGCTCGCCAACCGACTCGGCTGCCATGGCGCGCGCGGCTGCGTGGAGGCCGCCGGAGGGAGGGAGGGAAGCAGCCGGGAGAGAGCGAGGATGCGAGAAGCAGGATATATGAAGGTTGTTTGAGCGGCAGTTTCCAGGAGCGGCGGAGGCCGCGATCCACACGGTCGACGGAGATGCAGAGCGCCCCCGACGCGACGAGCCAAGGCGGAATAGTAGAGCGATGATGTCACATCTTGTTGTCACAAAACAAGATTCCTTTCTTGTGGTCGTGGGTCCCAATTTTCGAGGGAAGCTGGAATCTGGGCTACTGCCAAGAGTAGCAGTTGAGCAAACCACCCGGAAGTATACTTGCCATGATTTTTCTTTTTTGGGTGAAGGAGCTCATGATCTTTCTCTCGCTTAGGAATAATCTCCAAGTCATATCCTCCTTGCTCTAGATTCTTTACTTTTAAAAGCGTTACAGATATTACTCCTTCAAAATGAGATAAGATACTTACACCATGAACATCTTTCAGAAACGTGTCGACTTTTTAGACATGGCAAATCGAATGTTTTTTTAATGACAAATTATGTTGTCGCGAGGATGACCGTAAGCATGAAAATTCCCGGCACAAAATTGAACTTGACAAGATTTGCCATGCTAAAAAAACCGATGTTTGATTTGTAGCGAAATCCACATTTTTACTACTATCTAAGATTAGCTAATTAACCACGACTACTGCATAGTGACAAACATTTTGGCAGAAACGATATAAGCGGCGAGTTAAGTAAATAATTCAGGTAGAAAGGTTATGACTCATGCATGCTCTTGCAACATTCTCTGTGGATTTCCGTGATGGATGCATGTGGCCATGCTTGACGATCATGGTAATTATTTCCATGCAACCGCTAGAAAGTGAGTGGAACGATGATTAATCCGACTTCATTATAATCTTCATAGTGAAGGATCTTAGGATTGTATGATAAAAATGTCTAAGTTCAAGGAAAGGATGTGTAAGATGGCATAAGTGGGGGATCTTGTGTTCAACTCATCTCTTCATCATTTCCTTCTTATTTGCAGCTTTCTTGAGAGATAGTTTGCAAATTTTTGACCTATGAAGGTGTGCGAGTGTATAAAAATGAGACAGAAACATGACTTGATGGTTCTCCAACAAAAATCCTCACACTTGCATGAAGTGTTACACAATAAAAATGTCACATTTAATTTATTTATTAAGTAGTGTATGTTGGATTGGCCATTTCAAGGTTGTTTCCCTAACTCTCTCGATGAACAATAGTTATTTAAGTAGAAGGTGATCGACTCCAGATGGCCGTGGCAGTGGGATGTCACCATTCTCTCCTTAGAGGCATAGTCTCGGGGGACCTTTGGTCTCTATCAGCTGGTCGTTGTGTGATTAGTTTGTCGACATCCTGATAGTGTTTTGTGCTTGAGCTCTCTTCCTTTGTGATGATTTAGTTGCCATTTCTCTAGTTCTAGCTCCAGCGTGAGCGAAGCACATGATGGTTGCTTTTTCGAGTTGTTTGCATGTGTCCACTAGTAGGCACTACATTTGCCTAAACTTAATTAGTGAACATGAGCTTTGCTGGTCAATGATATGAACATTTTCAAGGGTTACATCCTTTTTTATATGATTGTCATTGGCTTATGCTATGTATGCCAATAATGTGCGGATGTTTCCTCAGGGAGGACATACGAGCGATCCATTGTCCACGCTACAGGGATCAACAAAACAAACAAATTTGTTTGCCGAGATCCCTACCCCGCGCGACGAGCATGAGTGCGTGAAGGGCTGCGGTCCATGAACTATCTACACCGCCGCGTCAGCCTGATAACCCCCCATGCAAACCACTCCGCCCCTACCCACCTTCTTGTGAGGCAATACAAACCTCATTTCCCCCTTCACGATCTGGTTTCCTCTCTGTTCCTCCTTCTCCGCCCAGTCACCATGGCAAGTTTGCCGCAGATCATTTAATTTGAAGAAAATCAGCCGGTGGAGCACTCAATTTAGGCAATGATCTCCAAGCATACCATCCCCACCACCTCCTCAATTTCCATCAATCTCAAGTGAAATCAAAAGGAAACAGAGCAATAGATTTGCCATGGTGAAAATATGTAGGTAATTTGCCATGTAAATTTCGGGGGAAATAAATTCATGCATGGTTGGGGGGTTTGCCATGATACTTGGCATATATTTGCCATGGCATTGTAGTACATGACATGGGAAGTGATGTTTGGTAGAATAGAAGGATTTGGACATGGTAAATCTCTTGCATAGGGAAAATATAGCATATATTTGCCCTATTTTCACTCCCACCCTCAAGAAGACACCAATACCCCACCTGTGTAGCAAACAGAGGTAGAGATAGTGAATTTGCCATGGCTAGATAACAATGAGGGTGATTGATATAATTTTCTAGTATAACAACATGTAGTTGTCAAATTTGCAATGATAGTATAAGCAAAGTTGCCATGAGTATGTGATTGATTTTTCCATGTGGAATAATGTGTGAGCATAAAGAACTACTCACTGCTTCATGCTTATAAAGATGTGTGTTCTTTTTGCAAAAAGAACTTGCCATGCAAGTAATATATGATTTTCCATGCAATTGGATGTAAATCTGTCATGTGAAGAAGGATAAACTTGCATATGAGAAAAGAAGAATAAGTTGTTTGTTAGGATTTGGTTTGGAAAAGTATATGTAGTTGTTATGTAACAAATTGGCATCCACATATGACTGAAATTGCCATGAGAGGTGAATACAAAGTTGGTATTTTTTTTGCCACTCTCCCATACCACCTTTAGTGAATGTTGTGTTTGTGTGCAAGATTGTTCGTGTTTGCCAAAAAAGATAAAAATAAAAAGATAGAAAATGGATGATGGATCCATGTCCATGGTAAAACTAAGAGACAAATGTTCTACCGATCATGACAAAATAAAAAAAACATTGTACCTGTAATTTAGCATTTTATGTTCTCCAAAAGCATGCCGACTTGTTCGAAATTTTGTAATCTTCATATGACAATTTTAAAAATTGTAATTATGATATGCCAAATTGTAAAAATAAGTAAGAAACGTATCACATGGTATATGAGATTTTTGGAACAAAAATAATAATTATTGCATGGCAAAATTATTCTGACATGGTATAGACAAAAAAATATACATGAAAAATTCCATGGTACAGTACAAAAAATATCATGTATTTGCCATGTAAATACATTTGTTTTCTTCTAAGTTTGCAATGTGACCAATACACAAACATTTTAAAAAATTGCCATGTCGTAGAGAACAACATTCCTACATTCGACATGTGCCTGTTACAACATTTGCTCTAATTTTTCCATGATTTAGGACAAATTTCCTAAAATTTCATGTGATAATGTACAAAGAAATTGTAATTTTGACCTGCTGTACAAAGCAAAATTTCTAAAAAGGTGCTATGTCACCAGTTGAAACATTTATAAAAACTCCATGTATAATAGGATAAAACCCTACATTTTGCATGTGACTTTTTTTTCGTAAAATGTGCAATGATTTAGGATACATAGCTTTCTAAAATTGCCATGTGACTGAACAAAAGTTATACATCTTTGCCACACTATAGCAGACACATTTTTTCTATGTTTGCTATGATGTAGCAGACAGTTTTTTCCTATGTTTGCAATGTGAATAAGCAATTTTTTAATAAAATTTCCATGTTGTAGAAAACAAAAAATTCAAAAGGCTAACACGTGACAAGTACAAAGCATGTTCAAAAAATGCCGTGTTTTAAAGGAGAAAAATCCTAAAGTTGCCTAGGTTTAGAAAATTGCCATAATGTAGTTACGAGAATAGCATGTAAAAGCTGTCATGTTGTAGAGAATTTTTTTTTGTAAAATTTTCCATGGACCAGTACAAAAACATTTTTAGAATTTGCCCGGTTTGCAGATATCATTTTGCAAGAGAAACAACCACGGGAAAAAGGGAGGAAGATGAGGCATACCTTGTCGGGTTGAGATTGATACCTCATCAATGTTGGTCCATTGTGCGTTTCTGAATCCCTGCGACCGCCCACACAGGGAAGGGGATAGCTGCGATGACGACGAAGGTAGCATGGGCATGGTCGTAGGACAGAAAACGACAACGACAATGAGCAACTGTAACGAAGGTTGCAGGCAATGCAAATGGGAAGAGGACGGAATGCCCCCCACCATGCCCCCCCCCCACTATGGCTTGTCGGCGCTGGAGGCTCGCCGAAGTGTTGAACCACACCTCACAACACGCTGGAGCGGCCGACGGGGATATTAGATATGAAAGCAAAGGTGGTGTGTGTGGGGCAGAGACTCGTGGCGGCGTGGGCAGCCAAGCTTGTGGTGGAGGCGGTTGAGCAGTTTACCTTGAAATCTTCAACAATGCATGATGATAAAGCCGAATGCAGCCGCCAACAAGAGATTGGGACCAAATCTCCGGCAGAGAGGTATCTACCTAAAGACATGAATAGATAGGGAGAAGAGGAAGAGGCGGTGGGGGAAACGCGACACGGACAAGTAGGGTAAGGGTGTGGCACTAGAACATCGGGCTATGTTGCCCCCGTTCGCGCGGTTGCTAGCCTGGAGCGAACGGTTGCCAGATGACGACGTGGCAAGGCGCCCTACAATAGGATTCAGGCGTCTAATCCAACGGCCCACAAGCTGTTCACATGGAATATAGTCCCAATAAGCGTCAATTCATTAGCTTTTTCGTATTCAATTTTATGGTCTTTACAAGTACTTAGCACATTGTGTCAGATAAGCCGTTCGTCTTCTATGATTTGAAGCCGACCGTAATGTCTTCCGGCTAGAAAACTTCGGTCATCCCGATAGTGTAGTTGTATTAAGGAGATACACATACAATGATCATATACTCATCTCTACATGACTAGAATGCACACAATCAACACAAATGCGCGCGCACACACACAAAAGATCACGCCAACATAAAAACAAAGTCACATAATATCAAAGCAATGCCTAGGCAGAGTGACCCAACGATGATGCCACTCCATGT